CTGAACTCTGGGCCTGGGCGCTGCCCCTCAGCTCTTCAGCTCAAGGCTAGCGCTCTACCACTTGAGCCACAGCGCCACTTCTGGCTTTTTTCTTTTTGCGTATGTGGTGCTGAGGAATTGAACACAGGGCCTCAGGCATGCAAGGCAAGCGCTCTACACTAAGCCACTTTCCAAGCCCTTTAAAATTTTTTATTTATTTTTTGCCAGTCTTGAGGCTTGAATTCAGGACCTGGGCACTGTTGCTGAGCTTCTTTTGCTCAAGGCTATTGCTCTACCACTTGTGCCACAGTGCCACTTCTGGCTTTTTCTGTGTATGTGGTACTGAGAAATCAAACCCAGAGATTCATGCATGCTAGGTGAGCATTCTACCACTGAGCCACCTTCCCAGCCCAATAATCATTTTTTTTTTTTTTTTTGCCTGTTATAGGGTCTGAACTCTGGCCCTGGGTGCTGTCCCTCAGCTCTGGATTTTTCTGTGTATGTGATGCTGAGGAATTGAACTCAGGGCCTCATGCATGCAAGGCAAGCACTCTACCACTGAACCACCTTCCCAGCCCAGGAATCACATTTTTATAATTCTAAAATAAACAGTTTAAATAACTTTTTTTTTCTGGTGATGGAACTCATGGGTCCACAAATGGTAAGCACACATTCTGTTGCTGAGTTACACTCCTAACCCCAACATTAATCTTCTTGGTTGACTGAAGCCATTTACATGAAATGGTTTTTTCTTGAGTCATTTTTACCAGATACACACCTTACTTCCCTATTGAAACTAGTTTTGTGTGCTGGTCCTGGATATTGAACTCAGGGCCTGGGCGCTATCCCTGAGCTTTTTCACTCAAGGTTAGCACTCTATTACTTTGGGCCATAGCACCACTTCTGGTTTTCTGGTGCTTAATTGGAGATGAGTCTCATGGAATTTCCTGCCCAGGTTGCCTTTGAACTGCAACCCTCAGATCTCACTCTCCTGAGTAGCTAGGATTACAGGCATGAGCCACCAGCACATAGCTATTTTAACATTTTTTTTTTTTTGGTCGGCCGTGGGGCTTGAACTCTGGGCCTGGGCTCTGTCCCTCAGCTCTTCAGCTCAAGGCGAGCGCTCTACCACTTGAGCTACAGCACCACTTCCGGTTCTCTGGTGGTT